ATATGTTTTGTGTCTGTAAAATGATTATTTCATTAGTACTGGTAATAATATTGAAAAATTTATTAAAATGATAAATAATTGGGATATTTTGTCTTTTATTTGTGAATTTTGATTTATTCTTAATTTATTAGTGTTATTGAAATATGATGATGTAAAAAGTATAAATAGTTTAATTGTACTTTTTAAAAATAATAAATTTATTATTAAAAATTAAATTCATCAGACTGACCTGTAACTATGCCTTTAAATTTTTGCAATGTAAAACTATCGACAAACAGCCAATAACAAGTTGCCCATTTTAGCATACCTTTCGCGTGAGGGCCCAATTATTAAAAGATGTGTTCAACCATCAAATGAAAGCCGACTACTTCTTCCATCTAAAAATAATAATCTATTTTCAGAATTTAATTTCTTTTTATAATACAATTATTACATTTTAAAAATATTAATTTTTCAAAATTACCTTTTGATAGTATATTTTTGTAGAAATATCAATTGTTATAATTGTACTTTTTGTATTATTAATGTATTTAAAAAAAGGACAAAATCAGAAATTCATATTATTTTAATAATTAATTTTTTTAAAAATTTAATATTTTGAGATAATAAAAAAAATAAGATATTAATATTTTTGGATGGTGGGTGTACAACCTCTTAATAAATCGGGAAAGATTAAAAATTAATTTTCTTATTTTCATTCGGCTACCAAACAATTTAGTAGCCGAAAGTAGGTATACAGCGACTAAAAGAAAGTTTGTCGCCGAAACTTGACATTTGGCGACCAAAAGTTTGGTCGGGAAAGATTAAAAATTAATTTTTTTATTTTCTTTCAGCTACCAAACAATTTAGTAGCCGAAAGTAGGTATACAGCGACTAAAAGAAATTTTGTCGCCGAAACTTGACATTTGGCGACCAAAAGTTTGGTCGGGAAAGATTAAAAATTAATTTTTTTATTTTCATTCGGCTACCAAACAATTTAGTAGCTAAAGGTACCTCTACGGCTACTAAATTTTTATTTAGTCGCCAATTGTCATATGTTTAGCTACTAAAAATTGTTTTAGTCGCCAATTGTAATATCTTTAGCTACTAAATTTTTTTTAGTAGCCAATAATCAACATTCCCCTACTAAAAAAAATTAGTAGCTAAAAAGTTGACTTTTGCCGACTAATATTATTTTTGGTAGCCAATTTCGTGACTTTTGGTGACTAAATTAGTTTTGGTAGCTAAAAGTGGTCAGCAAAAATGCTTTTTCTTGTAGTGTTGCTAAAAGACATATAACTTTCTCTACAACATATTTTTGTCGCTAAAAATCAAAATTAAAATTTTGTAATCATTTAATCTCATAGCTTAAAATGCACAAAATTAAATGTCATCCAATCATATTAAAAAAAAATTGACATTCACATATCAAACGCACTCTATTCTCAAACCATAATGAGTATATAGAAAGTAAAATTTTACAAAAATTGAAACTGAAAGTTTCCAAATTCAAATCAAAGCAGTAACAGTTTAAATGAAGAATAGCAATAGTTTCTTCAAAGAGAATCTCTAAAAAAACAATTTCTCAACATCAATATCAGGCTTTATATCAGACAGCCTTGGCACAAGAGGCTTCAAGCTGTACTTAGGTGTGACACCCTTTGGACATCCCTGCAATCCAAAATTCAAAAAGAAAAATCAAATAATAAGAATCAACACAACATAACCTCATTAAATAATCAATAGTCATTCATAATAAAATAAGTTACAAATAATGAAAAAACACGTTATCTCAGTGTACTTGGAGTAGTAGTGAGCTATAATAAGAATCAACACAACAAGAGAGTCACCTAGAATCAACACAATAAGGTTATCATAATCTAAGCACGTAACCAATAGGTAGGCTTCTCTATATTGCCAAATACCAAATACACAGCCAGAGCAGCAAGGACATAATCTAGTAGCCACTTGTAACTCAAAAACCCCATGGATGATCTAGTCCTAATCATTTACATTGTTCATTCTTAGTGCTAAAGATTCACAACACATGAGCCTTAGTTGAGTAATCATTAATAGGAAAATACTTATATTTAACATCAGAAAATTCTTACATGTCTAATTTGAGCTTCATTATGGACCCATGCTTGCCTTTTCTGACTAAAGTGTGTCTTGTGATACAAATCAACAAGTCCAAGCTCCTTTCCATCCTTGTCTCGCTGTCAAAACCTTTATAGTTAGTATCCTATGGAGTACATACATCACCAAATAAAAGAAATAAAGAAAGTGCCATGTAGACCCTATGATTTAAAGGTCAGTTGTTTACCTCATCGTATTGCACCTTTCTAAATGCCTTTGAGCCAGTTGTATGGAGGACTTTAAGCTCAAACCGATTTTCCTTGTTTTTCTGACATTTCTCCTGCATGAAGTGTAAAAATATATTCAAAAGAAATCAAGTCCATGTGCCCAAATGCTCAGTAACAGCAGCAGCTGTAGCATCATCAGCAGCCCAAGTGTGTGCAAGTGCATTACAAGTGTGTTCAACAATTACCTGGTACGTCTTATCATCCCATAATTGACACAGGTATCGCCTCTTTTTCGATATCTTCATGTGGGTTTGCAAGGGCTGATTCCATCATAGGGAGACTTCTAAAATGTTGGCGTATAGAAAAAACACATCAATGTCTAACATATGAATTTGATGAAAAGAATAAACAACCAACCAAAAAAGAATATAAACTAAAATATTTACACTTGTTGAGACAGCCAACAATGTTCCTTCCTTATTAAACCGAATGCAAGGCGAAGCCTGAGAGGTTTTTTATACAAGGATTATTACTTTACACCAAGACATTCTCCAGAAAGATGGGAAGCAAATCTAAAAGAGATGCAATTTGATTATTACCGGTAATCCACCCTCTGCATCAGTAGTTGTCAAGAGGTTAACATTATCCATGTCCCAAAATTTGATTACAAACTTGTCACCAGCAGCCAAAAATCTGTCTTTTGTTGTATCAAATTGCACAACCCCAACAGACCGCTTCCCAAGACCATGATATGTCCGCTTGACAGCTCCTTCACTTTCATTCCATTCTACAATGTATGATTCTCCTTCCTTGCTAGTCCCACATGAGAACAACCTACAGAGTTTTCAACATGATCAGAAAAGATGCAAATGAAGCACAGATCCTCTTGTGAATTAACAGCCTATCCTATATATACCTTGTCCCATCAGCACTGTAAGCCATTGTTGTGCAAGGATGTCCTGGGGCATCATAATCAGCTCTTGAACCCAAATTATCATACAACCATGCCTTAATCTTCCCATCAATACCCGTCAAAAAGATGAACTGATAGAGAAAAAGAAAGATCCTTAATTATAAGAAATAGATTGGAAAGGTCTAACGACCGCGTAGAACACCACTCATAAAGTGAGGATTTGAGTGTGACATTCCTCATATTTTTAGATAGATAACAGATGTTACAGAACAAATTGGAATAGCATTGTAAAATAGTTCAAACTTGCAAGAAAGTTTCTAATTCCAAAACATTTGAAATGAAGTAATAATTCATTAATATAAAAAATGAATAAGGGTTATTCTGAATTAGAAAAAGAAAAAAGAATTGAGGAGTTCTAACTTTGAACTCTTTGGGTAACCCTTTTTTCGGTCAAGGTCCCTTGTACGGAAAGTCACAAAGTAAGCCTTGAACAAAAAGGATACCTGAATGTTTTCCTTAGTATGTGGGCACACAGAATAAACAGGTAACTGATGACCCTCGAAAGTGTACTACTTAGAACCAGTGGCAACATCCCAGACCTACAGACATGAGATTTTATGATTGCAGTCCACAGTTTCACCATTCCATGAAAGAAAATACCCAATAAACCCAAACCTTAATTGTCTTGTCCTCCCCACAAGTTATAACGCATAGTTGTTTGTTTGGGTGAGAGAAAGCAAGATCGCTAACATTACCAGTATGAGCATCAATCTGTCAAAACCATGAAGGCAACCAAAAATAATTTAATCCCAATTCAAGAAAGCGTTAATCCCAATTCATTCTATCTAGAATTTTGAAAATAATTTAATTCTTAGGAGAGATGAATTAGTGCAATTGAGTATAGTAGTTTTCTTTTTTTCTACTTAATTCTCCTTTGTTGTAGTATGATCAAAAAATTCTTCTCAAAGAAAAAAAAAAAAAAAACTTCTGGACTCCTTTAGAATTCATTAGAGTTGGTGACAATTGTAGAACTTGTTCGGCTTTGTTTATTTTCTGCCATTGTTTTCATTATTCAGCTTATGTATGTAACGTCATAGCATCTTTCTCCACAGTTCATTAACAGTCACATATTATAGCAAGAATCTTCACCAGCAAAATCAAAAGCACAAATCTAGTATACATATGCATGTACAACAATATATATATATATATATATATGAAATCAAGTACCTATATAGCTATGAATGAATACAGAATTTCAAATTCAAGCAATTTGAATGAATACAGAGGAGTATATATATAGATATGTACATGTATATATGATGTGTCTGTGTAGAGAGAAAGAGATTGAAAACATACCAAATCGCTATTTACCTTCGGATTGAAGCCAAAGAACTCAGATCGATTCAGAAATGAGGTGAAGATCGATTCTGATACGAGGCGGCACAAAGATCGATTCGGATTGAAGCTGAAGATCGATTGAGTCCTAACTGAGATCGATCAAAGCTGAAGATCAATTGATTGAGTCCTAACTGCTTTGAGCACAAAGATCGATTGATCGATCGAAGCTGAAGATCGATTGATTGAGTCCTAGACAGAGGAAATAGCTGAGATTGATTGAGCCCTAGCTGAGACCGATTGTAGTGAAGGAAGGAATCCAGCTTAAGAATGCACATATTTGACAACTGATGGAGGGATCGATCGAGTGAAGCGCGTATTTGACGACCTTTAGCAACCAAAGTAATTCGTCTCTGGCTTTTGCCAACCTCACACACGGGGTCATGTGCTCAAATCAACATAAACTTTAACTTTTTTGGTCCCTAAAAGTCTTCAAATAATTTTTTTTAGACTATCATAAAAGAATATACGGTGTTTGTATAATTTTCTCTTCAAATTTATTTTGGTCTCTAAATGATGGTTTTTAGAGACTAAATTCAATTGGTCTCTAAATATTAGTCCCTAAATCACTAATTTCTTGTAGTGTCTCCTCTACCAATGGTTGATCAGATAATATAAAAGTTTTTACTAGTAAGAGCTTAGTTTGTATAAATATTACTGGCTCTTTCTAGTTTAAAGATATAAATCAAGTAACATCAATGCCACATTCAGGTTCCAGGAGGGAGGGTACAATGAAGAAATCAGATTCTTCACGACAGATACGCCCCTAGATATACCATATTAGCAAAGAATTAATGCCACAATGAGGGTCCATTTGAAGAGGAAAATACATTCTAATAACACACCCTTTAACAAACTATTCAATTTGTAAGAGTAAAGAACAAAAAGCCCTGAAATAACTGATATCCAGCTTTAAAATTGAGGCAAGACATAGTTCGGTTAGGAAAACAAAAGATAGGTGTAGAAACATACAAGCTCATAAAAGAAAAGGTACTCTAAGAAATAATTGAGGTATAGTGTGATAACCCTGTCCCGTGTTATGTTAATTAATCTTAATTATGATTGTGGTTATGCGCTTAATATGATTTTGAGTGCTACTTATATGATTGTGTGTGTTTGAATTCCTATCAGTTCACTATAGAATTTAAATTGAAGGCCGTAGAGGCATCAGAAAGTGAAATTGACTGTATTTTTGTGCTCAACATAATTCTTAGAACCTACGGTAAAATTTAATTAAAAATTAATTTTCTCAAAATAATTAGATTCAATATGATTGAATTAGAGCACCATTACTTAGCCTTAATCAATTGGGTTAGGCAAGCCTATAAATAGGCTTATATACACTCAAGTTCCTTACTTTGAACTCATTTTGGCAGAGAATACACTAAAGAGAGAGAGAGAGTGCACTTGTTAGAGAGACAGAGAGAGGGGCCAAAATTGAAGACTTTGCTAAGAATTTGGAAGGCTAAAGGAATTGGTACAAGATTTAACTACATTTGTGAGGATTGGAGCCTCTAGGTGAGTAACTAAACTCAACTTCATGAATTTAAGTTCATAATTGAGTGAATTCAAGCAAGATATGAAATGAATTACAAGAATTGAATTGAATATGATGAATTTGAAGTCAATATAACCATGCATGTAGAGAATTTCCATGAATTTGCATAATCTAGCATGTAGCATGTTAATTATGAGAAATTGAGTGCCAAATCATGCATGCAAGTATGGTTTTGTTAAGCTCCATGAGTATGAACATCATTTGTACCATTTGAAATAGAAATAGAATCAATAAGTTACATGCATGCATAATTCAAGCAAGGTATGTAACTTGATTTCATGAACTTTGAAGAACTTGAAATGGTTTTTGGAAATTTGGGAGATGAACCATGATTTTGGGACAATTGATTTCAAATTATCTAAGTTTTATTGTCACACAATGTTTGTCTACATTTTTGGTATAGAATTGCAAGTTTTGGAGCCATGGGGGTTGAGTTTTGAAGCTTAAATAGAATTCTGAAAAACCAAGAATTCGACTTGTCTGCTCGAGCGAGGAAAGTCTTGCTCGAGCATGAAAACTTAGCTCGTAGAAGTTTTGCAAAAATTTGCACTGTGACTCAAGCGCGATCCTTACGCTTGAACGAACCTTGTTTTGCAAAACTCCCCGCTCAAGCGTTAGAAATCTCGCTCGAGCATGAAATTCATGTAACCAGTATCTTTACAGAGTTTTGCAGCCCGCTCGAGCGACCAAAGCTGCGCTCGAGCGGAGAGCCCTATTTTAGAAATTTTGACAAGGTGTTTTATGTTTGTTTTCCATTCTCTTTCATTTCTAAACACTCTTAGGCATGCATTGGCATTGTAAACGACCTAAAAGGATAAGAAAGAGGCCTAAGAGAAATAAATAAATTAAGAACGGATTGAATCGCTTGTAACCCGATATGTTATGAAATGTGTAGGGTCAAGCGCAAGGGCAAATCCATCGGCAGAACACTGTGAGTAATATCTTAATAAGAATGTATTGAAGTATGCTACTTCCAAATGCTCACTTATGTATGAGTTCTATAGAGTTATTAAATTGAATTGGATATTCGTCATACAAATGATTAGGCCAAAGGCCGTTTGACAGAAATGATTGGACCAAAGGCTGTTTGACATGAATGATTGGGCCAAAGGGCGTTTGCTAGAAATGATTGGGTCAAAGGCCGTTTGACATGAATGATTGGGCCAAAGGCCGTTTGCTAGAAATGATTGGGTCAAAGGCCATTTGACATGAATAATTGGGCCAAAGGCCATTTGATGTGAATGATTGGGCCAAAGGCTGTTTGATAAAAATGATTGGGCCAAAGGCCGTTTGACATGAATGATTGAGCCAAAGGCCATTTGAGATAAGCGAATTGGGCCTAAGGCCATTTGATAAGAATGAATTGGGCTCAAGACCGTTTGATACGTTTGGGCCTAAGGCCATTTAATGTATTAGATAGAAACATGAATGGCCCTAAGGCCATTTGATATGTCTGTTAACAAATTTTCATTCATGTAACTTCCTTATTTGATATTATTTACTAGGCTTTCGCTCATTCTCATTCATGTGTATGTAGGTGAGCAAAGAGACATCCAAACCCAGCGTCAGTGAAGACTACGAGAGGAAGTCAAGTTTTTGAGGAGTCAGCCCGAATGTCTCACGCACGAGACTTTGTTTTTGTCCCTTTTGTTCTTTTGTTACTCTTTTGCTATTTTGGTGAACACGTTGGATCACCTATGTATATGAGTTTTTGTTTGGCTAACTGCATATCTGAAAGTTCCTGGATGTATATAAGATGTTAACTCTATTTATATGTTTGAGTTATTATGAAATACCTTTGGAATGATTTTGCTATACCATGAAAGCACAACCCATTGGATACAGCTTTTAAATCTGCTTCCGTTTTGGCCCCTTTAATATTTCTGAAATTGTTTGAGGCCGTGATAATCTCAAGATTATTGGCCGGTTTTGACCTTAATCCTTAGGGGCGGGATCAGATCATGACATATAGATTTAGACTACACATCAATGAAGTTACCAGGAATGTAAGGGAATGTGCGAGGAAACAAAGGACGCAAGATGCCTTTCTGAATTTCCCAATTAATTGAATTTAAGCTTACTGCATCCAGGTTTAGCAATACCCCACCCTTTTTGGAAGCAGGAAGAGGAATTTTGACATGGTGCAAAATGCATCCAATGCAACATAAAATCAATTGGAATATTAAAAAATTCATTAGTTACAGTGAATCCTTGTTTCAAACTTCAGGAACATTTTATACGATTAAACAATTATGGATAACGCAACTAGATTTTGATGTCGAACTCTAAATTATATTTTGAAATTTTTTGGCTAGTTTTTTTTTTTTTTTTGATTGGAAGAAATATGTCAATTAAGAAAGCCAAACGGCACTTATAGGAGTCCAAACAAACCAAGACTTACACCATACAAAGTGAAAATAAAACAAGAAGCACTCAGGAAGAAGAAATATGAAAATATTCAGACGTACATATCGTACTCGTGCTCGTACTGCGAAGCAGAGCCGATCATAAAAGTTCGGCAATAGAGCATGTCCGAAATATTTCATAGATCCCAACCACGAAAAGGGTAAGCATAACAAATTGCACAGATGGACTCCAACAGAACCACACAAACCCAAAAACCAACACAAACCAAATGAGAGAAAATAAAAGAAAAACAAACAAAACAAACAGACCCACACCCAATCAAAACCAGCAACCGCTTCGGCGGATCCGGCCGTGGAGACGACCGGAGATGTAGAGGCGGCGGAGAAGGGCGATGAAGACGGCTGGAGAGGTGGAAAAAGGGCGATGAAGGCTACGGGGGAGGCGGATCCGACGTGAATGGAGAAGATGAAGAGGAAGAGGCGGCGGAGAGGAGGCGGTCAAGCTATGGAGAAGACGACGGGGCGGTGAAAGTGGAGAAGGCGCGGATCCGAGGGGCCACTCCCGGAGTGAATGGATGTGGGAGAAACACCTCACAAAGGAGGGAGAGGATGGAAAGCCCAAGCTTCCAAGTTATGGGAAAGCAAAATAAG